GTGTGGCCATGCTCAGCTATATGGGTCCAGACTTGGGAGCGTTGTTCTTGTCTTCTTACTGCCAAAATATGCTCATGTATTCTGGTTTTAAGTCTTTTTGATGTTTCTCCAATGTAGTTACATTGGCATGTGTTGCAGTTAATCTTGTATACAATGGAGGACAAATCACTGGTTGGTAATGGTTCTTTGGGTCGCATCATACATACATACATACATACATACATAATATATATACATATAATATTTGATGGACAATGTATAATAGACTTATATCCCATCTATACCTATAGATATAGATATAGATAGATATAGATATAGATATAGATAGTCAAGAAGATACTGCAATACTGACAGAGCAAGAGCTGAGGAGAAAAATCACCTATATTGTATCTGCAGGCAGAATGGCTATCCAGTGGAATTTATTAAGAAGTACAGCAGACTGTATGAGCCTCGCGGGAGCCAACATATAGGCACACCTATGGCATGGACAACATTACCGTATATCAATGGCGTGTCAGAGGCAATGGTGCGGATGTTAGCCCCATATAATATTAGCATTGCCCATAAACCAGACCAAACCCTGTGTGCTAAGGTAATGCACCCCAAAGAACCTCTCCCCAATGAAGAAAGATCCTCAGTGGTATATAGAATAAAATGTGAGAAGTGCCACTGCAATTACATTGGGGAGATGACCAATTGGCTCAGGACCAGGATTCATGAGCATGAGCTGGCCATCAGATGGCAGGAACAATGCTCATAAGTATGGGCACATATGGCCAGCTGCAACCATACGTTTGACCTTGTGGGGGCGGAGACCATTGCCCAAAATACCACCAAGGGTGGCCAACTACTTAAGGAGGCCTGGCTATCCGACGGACACTAGATCAATCGCCACATAGACCTACTGCCTGCTTATCAGTCATTAAGGGAGTGGGAGGAACAACGTAACAATCTGTGACAAAGGCAACAAGCGCCTACTATGCAGGATCGGAATGGCTGGCCTGTGCGACAAAGAACTACAACTGCCGAAAGGAAGGAATCCCCAGTGCATCCTGTGCAAGAACTAAGGAGGGGGGCCAGCTGGGTTTTTATAAAACCTTTTTGCTTTAGGTCTCCACTGCCGTGTGCAAAAAACCCCAACAAAACACGGTTCAATCAATCAGTCAATTTCAATTTCTCGTGGGAAAAAAACAGATCTTGCAAGGTTGCAATTGATTGATTGAACTTTTTAGTCCCACCCAGTCTGCCGTTACCACCGCAGCCACGCCCACCCAATGGGCCACGCCCACCCAATGGGCCACACCCACCCGGCACCCGACGATGCATAAGTGGGTTTTGGGTTGGAGTTTGGGCACTCGGTCTCTAAAAGGTTCGCCATCACTATCCTATGAGGTGAAAGCAGGAGCTATATTGTCAAAAAAAGGTGTGGTTTGCACCAAGATCTTCCATTGGCCAACATCTTGATTTTGATCTCTTTCCAAGTTTCCAGCAGACCCTTTGGGAAAAATAGTCCCATCAGTTCCAATATTTCTGGAATTAATTATTTCTAGTAACATGTGCAAGTCAGGCAAACCTTTTGACAAGTGATTTGAGCCACAAAAGCAATTTGAACAGTGTAACCAAGAGGCTATGTAAGTCAATATAGACTATGGAGGGCCAGGTCTACTTTGGAGAACCAGCAAGGAATGGGGCTACAATGTGTAAGGGTCTAAAAAAACAAAGCTTCCTTAACAGAGAGGCAGAATAGAGACTTCTGGGAATAAGTAGAAAACTGTAATGTTTAAAGTGGATAACAGTTAGAACAGAAATTAAGGCTAGAAATCGGGATTTAAAGAATAAAATAATTAGAACAGTGACTAAAAGACTTGTGCCTTTCCAGTTTCTGGAAAGATGAAAACAGAAAATATTTTTGTATAGATTCTTTAAAAAAGTCTCAGAAAGGGGTTTTTTGTAACTTCTTGCTGCTGACCAGTGCTGATTCAAAGACAAGATGTAGGTTCATTCCTTTTCTGGATCATGTTCCTTTCTCTGTTCAGTCCCTGCCTCCTTCCAGATATATGGAAAACTATCATCCAAGATTTGCGAAGGTGGCCCAGGAAGGAGAACCTATGTGCTGCTATGACTGTCTTCCTTGCATAGAAAGAAACATCTCCATCCAGGAAGGTGTCTGAGACCAGAGTTTCTAAGGAGATTCTCAATCCTCCATATCATAATTATCCCAAAGGTGCTTTTCCAAAAGGCAACTGGACTTTGAAAAAACACCTTTGGGCCTAAGACCAGAGGAAACTGGCAGAGCTTGGGAAAGACCATTCAGCAGACATTTCCCTTTAAAGGGATTTTGACTGGCAAGTCTAAGCTTGATTCTCATTCAATTTTAAATAATATTCATTATTTATTCCATAGTTTGATCATCTAGAAAGATGACAGTGAGGGAAAGCTTGAATAGAACACACTGGAAGTTTTTAGAAGAGATTGGAAAACCATTTGTTTGGAATGGTATAGGGCAGACATGTCAAACAAAAGGCTTGGGGGCCAGATGCGGCCTGCGAAGTGGTTTCATGTGGCCCGCGAAGCCATCCTGGAAACAGTGAGGGAACGTCCCCCACTGCCTTGGCCCTGGCCAGCCGGGAGCCAATGTACAATTTTGTGGTGGCCATCTATGCTAAAATGCATTCAGTCTTAGCTCCACAAGGCCGTCTGGAAAAAGCGAGGAACCAGCCCCTGCTGCGTTGGCCCCACCCCCTGGGTGCATGCTGGGGAGGTGTCACCCTTTGTGAGGAATGAAGAAATGCATCATTGCCTGGAAGTGGCCAGCAAATGGCCCTCGCCTACTTCACATATCCGGCTTGATGGGCTCTGCCCTGGTCTTACCCCTTTCTGCCAAAGACCCTCAGATCTGTCCCACTCTTGCCCAGGCCCCCACAGGCACCCTTGACACGAATGATGTAGAGCTGGCAACTCCCACCCAGTAGGCCACACCCACTCTATCCATGCCCACCCAGTAGGCCGCACCCACCCTGGCCACACACCCCCGCCCCCCGAGGGCAACTGAAATGCTGATGCGGCCCTCAATGAAATTGAGTTTGACACCCCTGGTATAGGGTTTCCTGCCAGAGCAGGAGGTTAGACTAGAAAATCCAAGGTCCCTTCCAACTCTGTTATTCTGTTAAAAGGGAATCCATCAGCTATGGACTTATGTCATCTGGAAGAGGAGATCTCTTGGTGTTTAGCATATCCATCCACCTTTCAGTTTTTGAAATGTATCACTGTGAATAATGAGCATGTTCAGGGTTACAGTGCAGAACAAGTTTGAGTGTGGAGAGTCAGATGTTCCCTGAGGATGGGTTCCAGCATGAGTCCAAAAGGTTGGAAGAATAAACCTCTGATCCCAGTGACTGACTCATCTTGGATCCTGTAAGTTTGAGTGTGCTTAGAAGAAGATTAACTAAGTCTTAATCCACAAGATGTAAAACACATTTTAACATAAAGCTAATATTTAATGGCAATTCCATTTGTAAAGAATTGGAGACAGGAGATAATTTTGTTAGACATATTCTTTGGAATTATATACCTATGAAATAGAATTTTCTTATTACCAAGAGGCTAGTCTTTCAAAATTAAAAGGATAAATTTAAGGAACCAAATCTTTAATGAATTAATCACCAGATATTATCTGCATGTTATGAATAGGTTACAAACTTAGATTATGTAGCGATGATTACAATGAAATATAGTCATCTTTATTTAAATAGTTATCATTTCTTATACTGTATATTTATAAATAATATTTCTACATGACTTATAAATATACAAACATAATTTTGGTTCTTTTACTGCTTTTTTATTTCACTTTCCTTTCCTTTTATATTATTCATATATAATATGGTTTTGGTTTAAAAACAAAAGGGAAAATGTTTATTAGAAATGATGATCCATTACATTTATCCATCACTATGATTTCTATTGAGACTACCTAGTGGGGCTGATATTATATTTATTACTGTACTTTGCCATTACTAAATATTATTCTGGAAAAAGAGATATCTATAAAGTCATTCTATATTTTATTTCAACATCATTTGTTCTTTTGTATTGAGTTCTGGTTTGATCACAATGATGTAGCACTTGGGGATGAAGATGCAGCCCAGCAGACCAGCACTCGAAGCTAAGATGGAGAAGACCTGCACAGCCACCATGTATTTCCCCTTAGTGCTTAAGTAAGCCGGCACAAAGGACACCCAAACACTGCAGAAGACCAGCATGCTAAAGGTGATCAGCTTGGCTTCATTAAAAGCTCCAGGTAGATTCCTGGCCAAGAAAGCCACCGTGAAGCAGATAGTGGCCAGAAAGCCCATGTACCCGAGGGCAGAATAGAACATGGTGACACTACCTTCATTGCATTGTATGATGATCTCTCTAGGTTGGGAGTGCATGTCCATGTCAGGAAAGGGAGAAAAGATGCTCAACCAGATGCTGCAGATGACAACTTGGAGACCAGAGCAGGAAAGAATGATGGAGTTGGCAAAGCTCTTCCCCAGCCATCTCTGCATTTTATTCCCTGGTTTTGTGGCCAAGAAGGCAAATACCACTGTGATAGTTTTGGCCAAGATTGAAGAAATGGCAATTGAGAAGATGATACTGAAAACTGTTTGTCGGAGAAGGCATGTCACTCTCCTTGGATGGCCTATGAAGAAGAAGGTAGTCAAGATGGAAAGCAGGAGGGAGACCAGGAGGATGTAGGAGAGGTCCCGGTTGTTGGCCTTGACAATTGGTGTTTCCAGGAATTTAATGAAGATTCCCAAAACAAAGCCTGTGGTTAAAGAGAGGAACAAGGCAATGGAAGTCAGGATAATCCCCAGGTTTTCCTTAAAAGAAAGGTAGTTTATGATTTTGGGAATACAGTGATCCCGATTGCTGTTTGGATGTTGATCTTCTGGACATTTGGTACATTGTTCTGCATCTGAAAAAGAGCAAGAGTAGAATCTACTGTCCTTCAATGAAATCCATTATGTGTGTGAAACTGTTTTTGTTGGGAATGATTTTGCATGGATAACATCAGTATGAAGGGCAATGGAATAAAGTACTGTACTTCTGTCAGCAGAAGTAAAAAAAACAACCACACTACTTTTTCTGTGGAGCAAACAAAGGTAGGAAGAGCTGCTCTTCAGGATGAGTTGGATATAGAGTGATGGTTGCAATAGTAACAAATATCTGTAGCTCAGGTGTAGGATGAGGATGAAGGTCACAAGACCCTCACTCGACACATCCACACCTGAAGCCCTTATAAACAGATGAACACCGACAATGAAATCCCCTAAACTCTGCTGCAGATGTTACCTAGCCTGGTAACAAAACCTTTGGAAACCAACCCACAAGATCGGAGAATGAACCTTCACCCTTATCCTAGACCCGAGCTACAGATATTTTCCACTATTGCAAAGCCAAGTCTTTCAAAATGCACTTTCATGGGCCAATCCTGAAAGCCTGCCCCTTTCTCCTGCTATCACCCACCTTCCTTGGTGGAGATGGTTCCTTCTGCACAAGGATGACAGTTGTAGCAACAGATGGGCTTCCCTTCCTGAGCCACCTTCATGAATCCCTGAGGACAGCTTTCCACACACCTGGAAGGAGGCAGGGGCTGAATAGAAGGAGGAAAAGTACACTGAAAATTAGCTTATTTTGGAAAAAAAGCAAAGGAAAAGGATTTGGGGAATCTTCAGTTCAATATTTTTATTAATTAATAATATCTAGAAAATGAGTTATTGTATTTCCAAAAGGAGGTAAAAGTGGAAAGGTTTGGGAATCTCCAGTTCAAGGCTTAGCTTTGCTAAATTTGAACCCTAAATTTAAAGCCTCAAACTCATCAACCCTCTTGTTGTTTTCCTATTTATTTTCTCTTGTCATTTTTCCCCACAGTACAAATTTACTTTAAATTCTCAATTTGCATACTCGAGGGAAATTTGGATAGATTTTCTGCTTTGGTGAAATGAATCATGTTGCCTCATGATTTAATATTAGTTTCCTTGCAGATCACTGATAAACAACTAACTGGAATAGTTAAGGAACATATTTCTCCTAGACAACTGAACATCTAACCAAAGTTGATGTTGCCTGCTTTGGAAAACAGATGACATCCCCACATGGTGACCAGTGTGAGGATTGTATTTGCCAAGCACCAGAAAGGAAAAGAGTTGACAACTATTTAAGAATGGATTTTAAAATTGAATTAGCAGAGATGGTGAGACTAACTGCTTTGATTAAAGACAATGGACCAGATAGCTTTATAAGAGACTGGACTTTCTACATGTTAAATACAGTAACTGACGGTTAACAGAGAGATTTGAAGATTATTGTAATGTTTGGGCTAACCTGTTGACTTTTTTAAAATTATCTTTTACCTATATATTATAATCAGATATTGGGTTCACTTGAATATCAGATAAAGATCCCCTCACCTGGAATATTTGTTTATTTATTATAGTATTTATGTTAAACAGGGATGGGAAAGCTTATAACTATTTGTAGATTCATTGTGTAAAGGAGGGGAGAATTTATCAGTTTTTTTTCAACATCCAGCTGGAATGGATTCTTTATGTTTAATGTTAAATAGACTTGGACTAGAAGACCTCCAAGGTCCCTTCCAACTCTGCTATTCTATTCTATTCTATTCTATTCTATTCTATTCTATTCTATTCTGTTCTGTTCTGTTCTGTTCTGTTCTGTTCTGTTCTGTTCTGTTCTATTCTATTCTAAATTTAATTTATTTTTGGGTCATATTTTTCCCTTTTTGTACACAATTCTTTACATTTATTTTTTTGTTTTGTTGTTGTTAGTGTTAGATGTATGTTTTTCTGTTTTTCCATTTTGCATTTTATTGATAAAATAAATATATATAAAATAGCAAAACAGAGATGAATTCCCAAGCCTGTCCTTGCCTCCACAGTGCAATCCTCCTGGGAAGACTTTCAGAAAGAGCTGAAGTCTTTCCCCCCACCTTCTTCAACAGTTCCATCTTTGCAAGAGCTGTTTCCTTGATTGTAAACTTCACATCCAAGAATCCCGGTCTTTCTAGATCCCCAAACATCAATCTGCTGACAGACTTATTGGCTAAAATCATCCAGTTTATAATGGTAAGGTCTGCTACCAGCTCTCCTTTCTCATTCAAATACACCCCATTGATGCAATTATTATAAAATTGAGAAGTTTGAAGGAAAGAATGAAGCTGGAATAGAAGAGAAAATGGACAGTGTTACAAAGAACATAGAAATGTCTGCAACAAGGATCCTTACATTTGAACTGGACGAAGGAAATATACTGAGGAATGTAGAATTAAAATCATGTAAAATGCCCCAAGAAACTTTCAGTTCCTTTCAAAAACCAGTATGGTGAACAGATATCCTTTGCCTCTTCCCATTCATAATTCTTACTGCTGAGTTTCGAAAACCAATGGGAACTCTAGCAAAGGATACATGCAGGTGAGCTATTGAGGTCCAAATTTAAAACTCTAAAGAAAATAGGCACAAGAACACTGAAAAAAATCTGCCACTAAAGCCAAAATGAAATAAAATTTCCTTCAAAGAACCAATATTGTAAACAAGAAGTTTACAAATCAATGGGACAGAACATTATGACAAATAACTTTGCTTTCTTTGAGGATTTCTATGGGTGCCTTTGCTCTACTAGACTGCTATGATTATTAAATTCATTAAAGTGATAGATGGGTCATTTGACATGGAGAATACACCTCAGATATTCACCGTGAAAGATGATTTCTTTTACTAGTTAAGGTCACCTGCTTGCAATTTTATAGAACATTTTTTCACTCTTAATTCTTCTAAACTTCTTCCAAATCAAAGATTTGGCCTCAATCTATATACCTCCTTGACATTTCTCCATTTGCAGCTGCTTGAGGAGAATCTTTGATGACTTTGACTCTGTCTTATGCATTAGGACAGTGATGGCGAATCTTTTAGAGACCGAGTGCCCAAACTGCAACTCAAAATCCACTTATTTATCACCGGGTGCTGGGTGGACATGGCCCATTGGGTGGGCGTGGCTATGGTGGTCACAGCAGACTGAGTGGGCATGGCCAGGGTGGGCATGGCTACCTCGATGTTTGTGGGGAGGGATGCCTGTGGGGGCCGAGGAGGGTTGGGGGAGATCCAGGGGGTCTCTGGTGGTGATGGGCAGGAGGCTTGTCCTGTGGGGTGAGGTGAGGCGAGGCAGGGGGCAGGGGGCAGGGCAGAGGTGCCATAAACTTTCCCAGCTCCTGCATGGGCAATGCCTCTCCTGAGATAAGCCTGCGTGCACCTTCACACGTGGTCCAACAACGTGGAAGTACGAGCGTTTGGAGAGAAACTCCTCAAGAAGAAGAGTGCGCACATACTCCCCCACCCGGCCTGGGTTTTTGCAGCTCCAATCCTCTGCTCTCAAGGCACCAAACACCCTGCTTATGTTGAGACTGCAGCAGGTGGGCGGGACCGCTGGCCTAGCAACGGAGACATGGAAGCAGTAGGCCGGCCAATGCGTGCCAGCAGCAACAACAGTAGCTCCGTGCAGTGAAAGGGGCATCTGCAGTTTGGGCAGTGTCAATGGTGGCGGGGGAGTGGCTGCTTCCTGGAGGATGGGGACCAGAGTCAGTTGCAGCAGGCAGGGGATAATAAAAGCTTAAAATAAAAATAAAAGTCTAAAAAAGGCCGACACTTTCTGGCCGAGGGGGCACAGAAAGGATGGCATTTGTGGAAGGGGGGCTACAGCAACACCAGCTTGAAAATGCTGGAGGAGATGAGGTTTAGGCCATGCACTTAAAGGAGGGCAACCCCCACTGCACTTGGGTGGTTCTTCCCAAGAAGTTCCAGCACCACTTTGAGCCCCGCATTCTCACGGCCCACAGTGGTTTGTTGCCAAGGCCGTGTTGGTGGAGCCGGCACCCCCCAAACAGAGAAAGTGGGTGTCCCACCACCTCTGCTAGCAGCAGGAGCCTCCCAGTTCCTCTGCTCACTGTGATGGGGAAATAGTCCCGAAAGTATCGCCAGATGGCCCAGGCAGAGTGGCGCCCCCCCACGAAATGGCGTCTCCCAGTTCAGGTAGAGCCAGACCACATATCCCAGTGCCAGCAGCCAGCCGTCCCTGAGCAGCAGCACCAGGTAAAGCCCCAGGCAGCACTAGGCTACGACAGAGGCAGCGGGTGACCCTCTCCTCTGCCTCGCTAGCCCCCATGCAGCAGCAGCTGTGGCACTCTGAATGTGCTTAGGAGTCCACCGCTCTGATTGCTCCCACCCACAGACCGCCCCAACTGAGAGGAAGTGGTGGCTCCCTGCAGGGCTGGAGCAGTCGGGGTTTGGGAAAGCAGCCCCATGTGAAGCAAGGCAAGCCACTGCCTGCAAGAGCTAAGCCGGGTGCCATAGCTGCCTGCCCGCACTGCCTCGGGCTCCCTTCATGGCCATCGGCCTGCTGCCCTACACTGGCCATGACCACCGGCCAGCGCTGCCTCTCCTGCGACGTCCCCCGCAACTGGGACACAGCCAAGTTTGCCACCACCACCACCATTCCATCCTTGCCCAGCACCAGGAAGGAGAAGACCCACTGGAGGATGGTGGCCATTTGGAGGCGCCGCTGCAGCGGCAGGCGCAACGGGGTGAACCGCAACCACATGGCCAGCATGACAGGGTCAGGCTCCTACAGGTTGCCCGCCAAACGCAGCGGCAGATTATAACAGAGGGACAAGCTCCTCCTCCTCCTCTGTGAGATCCCATCCCATCCTGTAAGCGAGGCACGGCTGCACTGCTGTGGGGGGAGGGGGCACTTCCCTGACAGTGGCTCCAGGCTGGCTGGCCTTAGGCCAGTGATGGCAAACTTTTAGAGACCATGTGTCCTGGGGTGATGATGTGTGCCCACAGAGAGGGTTCCATGTGCCGCCTCTGGCCATAGGTTCGGCACCATTATATTAGGATATCAAACCATATAGTAGGGCTATATTACTATTATCTTTCTCATTTTTCCTGTTACTTATTTCTTTAGCATCTTATGACTATCACTTTGTTGTTTGTATCTTAAGATCTATCTATGTTGATTGCTTTTATTTGAATATCTTATGACTATCACTGAGTGTTGTATGTTATGCGTTATGGTGATTGTATTAAGATTATTTTCATGATTTTTCACTTTTTGCTTGTATGTACAGTGAGAACTTATGCACCAGAGACAAATTCCTTGTGTGTCCAATCACACTTGGCCAATAAAGCTATTCTATTTCTGTTGAGTCTTTAGAGCAGGGGAAGAAGAATCAAGTCAAGGAAGAACAATTTTGGGCAAATGCTGCCCTAGGGCAGAGGGGTACCCCATAAAATGAGGCATTAGACTGCCTAAGATACACAACACTTTTTGTTAGATTGTGTTGCCACTGTAATATTTTTGCCTGTAAAGAAAAAAGTCAAAGAAAAAAAAGGGGAGGCAAAAGAACTAAAAAGGTGTTAAGAAAGAATATATTGCAAAAGAAATGAGCCAAAGGAAACAAATGCAGCAGAGAGAGCAAGAAATAGAAAATGAATACCTGCCACGCCTTCAGCATTGTGGTTTCAAAGTTTTTGCCACCTTTGAATGTTGTCCTCTTGGATCTGGATCTCGATAAATAAGCTGCATTCAAGGCCCGTGCCACAGCCCAAATTGTGTTATAAATGAAATAGTTATCCAGAGTGAGGATCTGATCAATTTCCTCTTTCCTCATAGCCTCCAGTTCTTCTCTCCTTCTGCACCGTCGAAAATCTTTCACTGAAAAGGCATCCTTGGTGTAGGAACACAGGAAGGAGTTCCTTGCAAAGCGTCTCGCAGAAAAATATAACTTCCAAAACATACGATAATCCATCAGTTTAATGTTGCTCATCAGAAAGGAAAAAGTGCTATGGATGTATTGAAGGGGAAAGTCCTCTTCCATCAAATAAATTGTGAAGTCCCAGCGGATTGTGGTGAGCAGGACCTTTCCTCTAAGAGATTTAATAAAGGATTTATATATCATAATTAAAATATCAAACCCTGTTTTGATTGTAGTATAGTCTGCATTAAAAATAAAGATGTTCACTTTTCTCCAATTGTGGAATAATTCAAAATCTACAATCAGTCGAAGAGTTTTGGGAAAGGTTTGTGATAAAACTGGACAAATGCCATTCCTTATCAGCATGGAAGTCAATATCCTCATGAAACTTTGTCCATTCTCATTGTCTGGAGCAATCAGTCCAACCAAAGTCCATCTGAAATGGAGAAGCAGCTTGACCATTCCTGGATAGAGGATTCTTTCAGCAGGGAGCACTGAGTAGAAGAAAGGAAACTGAGTTTTGTCACTCAAAATCTGGGAAAAATAACTGTAACTGATCTGAAAAGTGGAAAAATAAGGAAGATGCTATTTTATTCAAGATCTGTAAATCCAAACACTTGGTCCTAATGAAGGAATTACTCTACTTGCTGCAATGAAGAAGTTTTGTAAGGACATCTCTGGTCATTCTACTCATTGATTATTTTTCTTCTCACTTCATTGAAGCATTTTGCTCTTAAGTATAGCCAAAACAGATGGCATTGTCTGGGACTATGCTAGGAAGGTGATGTGTCTGCTTGGATTCTTCTCTCTCACTAGATAGAATCTTCTTAATTAATTAATTAAGCAGTGCCTGCATTTTCTGTGTCACATGAGAAAAGCACATCTTTCTTCCCCTGTCCTTATCACTTTCTATAGAAGGACAATCGAGAGCATCCTGTCATATAGCATCACAGTCTGGTTTAGAAGCATCACTGCTTCAGAAAGGAAGGCAGTGCAGAGAGTGGTGAGGATGGCTGAAAAGATCATTGGCAGTTCCCTCCCTTCCATCCAGGATATAGCACATAAGTGTTGCTTGAACAGGGTCCACAAGAGTGTGTGGGACACTACACATTCTCTTCATGACTTGTTTTCCTTGTTACCTTCTGGGAGGAGGCTCCGTGGTATCTGACCAGAACATCCAGATTGAGTCACAGCTTTGTTCCATACAGTATTAACCTTGTGAAATCTAAAGCTTCCTCCTTCCATTATGTATTCAAGATGGACAGTGATTAATATTTATATGTTACTTATATGTAAGGGTGTAGGTCTATACATATGTTGTATATAGTATGTTTTAAATGTGTGTTATGTATGTGTACACTTGAGAGCAAGAAACTAAATTTCATTTTTAATGTATGTCGTTGTGCCCACAGGAAAAAAAATGTCAATAAAGGTAATCTAATCTAATGTAATTAATTAAATTTTAATTCATACAATTCTGATGATAAAACTTTGCTCTTCATTTTCAGCAGAGGATGCCTGATTGTAAGTTGACTAAAAATTGTCTTCTCAGCAAAGACACACCTGTGGGATTTTGTAGGTGCCCAACATGGTTGAAATCTGGTTGGAGATGCCAGTCTCGGCCCCTTCCAGAACAGCCACTATGTTTCTCTGCCTTCCACAGCTGTAGTTGGGTACATTGGCCTCCCCATCTGAGAGCAGGTCCAGCAAAGCCTCTGAAGTCATTTGTGCACTGAAATAATTTTCATAGATATTATAACCCAGGGTGATATTGAGGGAAGTATTGGGAATCTGGTTGATCTCTTGAATGGCAAAGATGAAGGATAGCATTTTCGAATACTCTGTATCTGTTATCCTGAAAGTGTGAGTGTATTAGAAATAACATGGAAATAACATTTTATTTACATTTTATTTTTAAATATTTTCAACCAGGCATACCTGGAAGTTTGGGGGCGTTTCATTATATATTCAGATGGATTGTTTCAAATCTCCAAACAAAGAACTGACATTTAACAAAGAGAAGGATGAGAGGGAACATGATAGCAGAATTCCAATATCTCAGGGGCTGCCACAAAGAAGAGGGAGTCAAGCTATTTTCCAAAGCGCCTGAAGGCAGGACAAGAAGCAACAGATGGAAACTAATCAAGGAGAGAAGCAACCTAGAACTAAGGAGAAACTTCCTGACAGTGAGAACAATTAATCAGTGGAACAACCTGCCTTCAGAAGCGGTGAATGCTCCAACACTGGAAGTTTTTAAGAAGAGACTGCACAGCCATTTATCCGAAGTGGTATAGGGTTTCCTGCCTGAGCAAGGGGTTGGACTAGATGACCTCCAAGATCCCTTCCAACTTTATTATTATTATTATTATTATTATTATTATTATTATTATTATTATTATTATTATTATTATTATTATTATTATTTTGAATTATAATATTATTATAATTGAATAGAATTTGCATTCTTTAAGTTTATATTTTATTTTAAGAAACTGAATGTATCTGAGTGAATTTGGCTTATTCTTTTTAAAATTGATATTTATTAATAGTTTTTACTTACAACAAAACACTAATCAGAAAAAGAGAAAAAAAGAAAGAAAGAGAAACAAAGAAGTGCAAGAAATGAGAAAGAGAAAAGAAAAAACCTAGTGTTTATCATCCTTTAATTTGTTCTTCTGTTTCAAATCTTTAAAACAGTTTATACATTTTACTATAATAATGGAATGAATGGAATGGAATGGAACTGAATGCAGTGGAGTGGAGTGGAGTGGAGTGGAGTGGAGTGGAGTGGAGTGGAGTGGAATAGAATAGAATAGAATACAATAGAATAGAATAGAATAGAATAGAATAGAATAGAATTCTTTATTGGCCAAATATGATTGGACACACAAGGAATTTGTCTCTGGTGCCTAAGCTCTCAGTGTACATAAAAGCAATAAGTGATAAATCATGATCATAATTATTTTAAAATACATTCATCATAAATTATAAGGTACAATACTTAGTATACTAAATAAGCAATCAACATAAACCATACTAGGATACTAAATAAAACAATATAAATTGTAAAATACAAGCAACAAAGTTATAGTCATAAGGAGTTTGTTGTTGTTAATTGCGAAGTCGTGTTCGACCCATCGCGACAATAGTAATACAAACTTACTATATAGTTTGACAGTGTTGTGGGAATTAGTTGTTCAGCAGAGTGATGGCATGGGGGGAAAACTGTCCTTGTGTCTAGTTGTTCTGGTGTGCAATGCCCTATAGCAACATTTTGAGGGTAGAAGTTGAAACAGTTTATACAAAATTGAATTTTGAATTCTGTTTTCTCTTTTTCGACCCCAATTGTCTTTTGATCTATATTAAATCTTTCTTTTACCTGTGCAGATGTGAACCTCTGAAAACTATGTTCTTCTGCAATCCATTGTTCTCAACTTCATTTTAATTTCTTCATCCTCCTTTATTAATAAGTCTTAATTGGTTAACCATTTTTTTCTATCAGTTGTTTCTATTTTATAGAATGCATCTTATGTTGAGATCATGAAGGTATCTCCAGTTCTACTTATTCCAATGTAGCATTTCTCATGTAATGATTTTTGAAATCCACATTAACTTTAAGTTTATTCTGCCATATGTTTTGGCTCTTTCTTGATGTTCTCAGTATTCTGGTAGTTGGATTAAGATTTTGGATTGATTTTCAGTTTTGTTCTCTGCCCCTTTGGCTACTTATCCTCTCAAATATAGAATCATTAAAGAACACATAAACACACACATACAATGATAAGTTTTTACTATAAGTGATATAAAATAGATGTTGAGACTCTAGAAAGAATATAAAGAAGAAGAACAAAGATGATGAGGGGACTGGAGGCTGAAACATACGAAGAACAATTGCAGGAATTGGGTATGTCTAGATTAATGAAAAGTATGGCTAGGGGTGACATGATAGCAGTGTTCCAATATCTCAGGGGCTGCCACAAATGAAGAGGGAGTCAAGCTATTCTCCAAAGTATCTGAAGGCAGGACAAGCAATGGATGGAAATTAATCAAGGAGAGAAGCAACCTAGAACTAAGGAGAATTTTCCTGACAATGAGAATAATTAAGCAGTGGAACAACTTGCCTCCAGAAGTTGTGAATGCTCCAACACTGGAAGTTTTTAAAAAGAAACTGGACAACCATTTGTCTGAAATGGTATAGGGTTTCCTGCTTCAGCAGAGGGTTGGACTAGAAGCCTCCAAGGTCCTTCCAATTCTATTATTCTACTCTGTTTTGTTCAAATTTCTTTCCTTTTTGTACTCATGTTGTCACCTTGATCTAGCAAGAGAGAGGTAGAAGAGAATAACCACTCTCTCTTCTCCATCCACAGTCCACCAATGTTCAGAGGATGTCAAGGAAAGCAGCTTTTTCAAAGTCAAGACAAAAAGAGCTTTATTGATTATTGTATTGGAGAATTTCAAAGGAGGCTTATCAACTACAGGATGGAAAATGGATCCCCAAGCATGAAATGAGAAAGAAAGAAAGAAAGAAAGAAAGAAAGAAAGAAAGAAAGAAAGAAAGAAAGAGAGAGAGAAAAACCAGCAGATCAATGAGACCATTCATTATAAGAGAAGAGGATGGAACTTTAGAAATCAGAATGAAATAGACTGGCTCTAAAGCCTTGTAGGAAGATTGACTTACTGTTTTGATTGAGTCACAGGTGTTGCGTTGAAGCTTAGTGGCCAAAATGTAGCCTGTGTTGCAAAGATTATGCCACCAATGATGAACTCTCCTGGTCTGTAATGGTTGTTTGGATCCACCTTGTCCCTCTTTAGAGTCAGGAGGCATTTGCCTCTGAGATTCCCCCAGGCTGCCAGGGGCCACAGAAGTAGCAGAAGCAGCAACATGATTTGTGTTCCTGATCGAGTGTCCAGCCCTGTATCTCTTTTGAAGAAACAGTGTATGAAGAGAAGGAAAGAAACCAAAGCCCTCTTCCAAAAGAGAAGCTTCAGAGGTTTCCTAATCCAGACAGAGTTCAGCAAGATTTAGTGTCTTATATGGGGGAGCATATACGCCTATCCTAAAAGCCTCCAAAGTTTCTCTCTTTCTGCATTTATGTCCCCAAGATTTTCCAGTGCAAAGACATATCACAAAGCTGATGTGATATTATGGCTTTATTTGTGTGCAATCTGAAAGTTTTGAAAAAAAAAGTCTTTAGAGGCTTAGCACCAAGACAACAAATAAATCACTATGATTTGGATAATGGCAACAAGGAGAGACATCACGTCTCTGAACTCTGAATGATCCAACAGGCAGCTGCCCATTGGGAGAAGTCACAGATGGGATGGAAACTTTGAGGATGAGCCAAGAAGTGAGATACGACAAATTGGTCCAAAGTTTCCCTTAGAAAATCTCTTGATACATTCCAGCATCAAGAAAGATTTTCAACGTAAGTATGGACTGTCAAGCCTCCATATAGATATATGATTGATATATGATAGATAATACTTGATAGACTCTATATGATAAATGATAGATAGGATAGGCCTAGTTTTAAAAAAACAATTTAATATTTATTACATTTATTATTTATTCCTGTCCTGTCCTGCTCTAAACCACTAATACATGATTAAAGTTTGAATTTTTTTTCCCAAATAGATCCACCTACAGATCCAACAGTCACACATTCGAAGGTTGAGCTGTGTCTGCTTTTACATGCATGAACCAAGAACCAGGTTTTAGAGAAGAAATCTAAAGGATCCTTCCTTCCTTCCTTCCTTCCTTCCTTCCTTCCTTCCTTCCTTCCTTCCTTCCTTCCTTCCTTCCACCTCCCTCCCTCCCTCCCTCCCTCCCTTCTAGGTTCAACTGGAGGGGATCATTGCTATTTGCAAAGAGAACTTTAAAAAGTAGCTTCCCCAGCAGCCAGTTTACACATGAAGACCAGCGTTTGAGTTGATTGGAGAAATATTTGCCTATCCTATCAAGAACATTTAGGGACCATCCTAGCTTCCCTTGCCTTGTTCCTGTCTTTGATAACCAGCTTAGTCTTGGGAATCTTCATTAAATTCCAAGAAACTCCCATGGTCAAAGCCACAATTGGTATCTTTCCTACATTCTCCTTATATCCCTCCTGCTTTCCCTCTTGACCTCCTTCCTATTTCTTGGCCAACCACAGACTGCTACTTGCCTTCTCCAACAAACAGCATTCAGCATTCAGAGCTTGTAGAGACCAATGGGGCCTTGAGTCCAATCTTCCACTCCTTCCTGTGTTTGAAATACTCCGGTATACATGATCACAATGACAATCTTTTCATAGGTTCTTGGAGAGTTGTGGAGTCCTTTAGATTTCTTCTCTAAAACCTGGTTCATGGAATCTGGAACACAAACCATGCAATCTGTACAAGCAGACACAACTCACCCTTGGAATGTGTGGCAGTAGTTCTTATTTCCCTTTGGCACTTGTCCTTCTACATTTTACTACTTAACCTTTTAAACATTGCTGCATGCTACCTTTCTCCATAACCATTCAACCAGAACATCACCAGTTTTATTCCAACTATGTATCGGATGGAAGAACTTACTTTAAGATAGATATTAATTTTATTATTTACAGATGCTGAAAAATGCACCAAATGTCCAGCAGATCAGCATCCAAATATCAACCGAGATGACTGTATACCTAAGATTGAAATTTTCCTATCCTATCAAGAACATTTAGGGATCATCCTAGCTTCCCTTGCCTTGTTCCTGTCTTTGATAACCAGCTTAGTCTTGGGAATCTTCATTAAATTCCAAGAAACTCCCATAGTCAAAGCCAACAATCGGGATCTCTCCTACATTCTCCTTACATCTC